TGTTGGAGAAGAATGGAGAAGATCAGTTGGACCGATTATGTGAGAAATGAAGAAGTGTTAATTAGAGTCAGTGAGCAGAGGAATATCCTACACGAAATAAGAAAACGGAAGGCTAATTGGATTGGTCATGTTTTACGCAGAAACTGCCTTCTAAAAGAAGTTATCGAAGGAAACATAGAGGGGAGGATAGAAGTGACAAGAAGACGAGGAAGAAGACGTAAGAATATGCTGGATGACCTTGGGGACAGAAGAGGATACTTTCATTTGAAGGAGAAAGCTCTAGATCGCATTAAGTGGAGGAATTGTTTTGGAAGAGACTGTGGACCTGTCATCTGACAGATTACTGATGATGATGATGATGATGATTATGATGGAGGACTTAACCTTGAGACAAGGACATTCGATAAAATTTTGTATGAAGTTGATAAGAGTGATATTCCTCAGTAACTATAGTCAGTTTTATCGTCCTTGTAAACTGGTACAATAACAGACTCCTTCCACTAATCAGACAATTCTTCCATATTCCAAATAGAATTATTGAATTTATGGATGTCAGACAGCAATGTTTCACCTCCTGCTTGAATCAGTTCTGCCAGCATTTGAACAGTAATATTAATATCAAATGGATTAGGTTTATGTACTAACGGCTCAAATCTTACTTGATTCATTGAAGTGAAAGATATACTAAGAGAACATGAAAGTGTACCATCAATCATGCCTGCCAAGTGATAAACTCAGAGGGAAGACAAAGTGTTGTCTCATTACTGTACATGGGGGAAACTGAAGGAGCAATACACACTTGGCAAGTTAAATACACACCTTTTTCTAAAAAACAAATAAAACGTAATAATATCCCCATAACAGGCCGTGGAGTACCATATGGTTGTGAGATATTGACACCCCCACATTTTCTAGACAATTGGCTCACAGATGGTGGTGGGGTTATCAGCCTTACACACCAGCCACCATTCAGCCCCAGGAAGATTCTTGGAACTCATTTCTGTTACAGGCTGAGTCAACTGAAGGGCCATAGTGTGGCTGGAAGGATAAGGTCAACTGAAAATAATTCAGTGACTTCATCAGGAATCGAACCTATAATCTTCCAGCTTGTAGCATAGTGCGTCAACCAACTATGCTACCATCTAAAAAGGTAAAGTTGTCCCTGTGATTAACTAATTAAGTACTACGCCATGAAGACATATGGGGGAGTGGATGTATAGATCAACACTGTCTTGACCTCGGCACTAGTTGAAGGTGAGTGATCAGCTTCACGCCACTGCTGCTTTAACCCCAGTACCCATTGGATAGGAGGTTTAGTGGACCCCAGAGCTGGTCTGGACGACATGGAGAAGAGAAATTCTTGACCCTACCGGGACTTGAACTACGACCCCTCGGATGTCCAGCCCGTAGCTAGTCAGTATACTGACTACGCTATCCCGGACCACTATGCTACAATGTGCTCCTATAAAAACAAATTCAGTTCCTAAAGTATTGGTTCTGTGGCATTTGTCACATGCTTTTAGTTGGGAAATCATTTTTGTGGGAAATATGACAAAAGAGTAAAATGTACAAAAATTGTAAGGAATAAATTTTTAAGAAAATTCTTTTAACAATCAAGATGGGAAAACAAATTAAATGGGCTTCACTATACATGTATTTCACAATCTTTATAAATCCACTGTGCCAAAATTAATTTTAAAACAGTTTGGTATGGACATTTCAGTTCTGTGTACTTTTTTGAGTGCAGCACGATGAGAAAACAAAAATATTATTACTTCCAGATATACTCCAACTGAAATGAAATGCTGCACTGTGATGCTTCGATATTTAAATTTCTTCCACCTCCAAATGCTTTACATGTTCTGTAGTCTTCAAGGATTGAATGGGGTTTATAAGGTAGCTCTAAATTGGACTGAACTGGCAAATAATCACATCCAATGGTGAACTTCGGTGTTAGCTTACTGTTCCTTCAAGTTTTAATATTACAAAGTTGATCAGTTTGAAGACGACCGTCCTTTTGGATGTGACACTGTGCAGTGTGGTAGACATTTACCAACATTTAGAAGGAACTCGCAACCTCAAATCTCAGGGTAAAACAGCAACCCATACAGGAAAATGAGACCAGTGAAGCAGGAAAGGGAAGCATAACACTGCTCTCATTGCTTCACTCTTAGCAAAAGTCCTTGCCCTTCCCTCCCTACATCACCAATATTATCCATGTACCTTAGTCTTCTACCCTGAAGACAGATGCAGCATGTTCCCCCAAAGCAATTACCAGAAGACAATAATATGTATAGTCCCTGTGCAAGAACGTAATATCTCCCAGTTACTATAGTCTGGCACAGAATACAGACTCACAACAGAGACACTAAAGAGCAGAAACTTCTCTGTGCTTAGGTGACCCACAGCTTCATAAAAGTAACTTTGGATTACAAAATTAGTTTACAGCTCATGGACATAGTGACTGTTAACATATTTCAGTACCTGTTCATTGGCTGGAGACTTCACACGTGTCACTACTTCATCCCTCCTTACTTGAGAACTGCTTCTGGGTTGATATGCCTGCAAAACTTCAAGCCTGATATCTTCTGGCAGGGCAGCCAACACCTCCTCATCCAAGTCACACACTTCATGGGGCATGAACTGTGAGAGTGACCTCCCAGCACATCCATTTTCACTTCTAGACACCTCCTGCTGAGGAGCATTACTGGGGCCAGCATCATGAATGGTGCCCCTTTTTGATAAGGATCTGTCCTCATTACTGGTTCTTGGCATTTTCTGTATGTTGCTCTCTTCCTGGGGAGCACTACTGGGGCCAGCCTCATCAATGGTGCCCCTTTTTGATAAGGATCTGTCCTCATTACTGGTTCTTGGCATTTTCTGTATGTTGCTCTCTTCCTGGGGAGCACTACTGGGGCCAGCCTCATCAATGGTGCCCCTTTTTGATAAGGATCTGTCCTCATTACTGGTTCTTGGCATTTTCTGTATGTTGCTCTCTTCCTGGGGAGCACTACTGGGGCCAGCCTCATCAATGGTGCCCCTTTTTGATAAGGATCTGTCCTCATTACTGGTTCTTGGCATTTTCTGTATGTTGCTCTCTTCCTGGGGAGCACTACTGGGGCCAGCCTCATCAATGGTGCCCCTTTTTGATAAGGATCTGTCCTCATTACTGGTTCTTGGCATTTTCTGTATGTTGCTCTCTTCCTGGGGAGCACTACTGGGGCCAGCCTCATCAATGGTGCCCCTTTTTGATAAGGATCTGTCCTCATTACTGGTTCTTGGCATTTTCTGTATGTTGCTCTCTTCCTGGGGAGCACTACTGGGGCCAGCCTCATCAATGGTGCCCCTTTTTGATAAGGATCTGTCCTCATTACTGGTTCTTGGCATTTTCTGTATGTTGCTCTCTTCCTGGGAAGCACTACTGGGGCCAGCCTCATGAATGATGTCCCTTTTTGATAAGGATCTGTCCTCATTACTGGTTCTTGACATTTTCTGTATGTTGCTCTCTTCCTGGGGAGCATTACTGGAACTAACTTGCTGAGTTTCTCCGGTGCTCCGCATCAAGAACCTGTCTAGAAGCTTCCTGCTCACATTTTCACTCTCCAGACGAGTCATTTGGATGCCAATACCTCGCAGATCACTTGGTTTGACTGACAGCTGTCGTAAAATTGAAAGCACCTCCCTGAAAAAAATAAAATATGAGATACAGAGATATACCACAGGAACATATTCTTGAATTTGCTACACTTAACGCTTATGAATAATTCGATGAGGGATATTCAGAAAGTAAAGACAGAAGCCCAGTAAAAATGCAAGGGATTCCCCCCCCCCAGAAATGTCAGTGCTGCCGTGTGAGATATGATCCATAGGACAGGGCAGAGTACACCAGCCACAGTCACAGAAAATATTGTGCTCAAAGTGTGTTTAAAATGGCCATGTTCATTACAAAATCTGCCAAATGTGAGGTTCATGCAGTAATTCGATTTTTTCACACGAAAGGAGAAACTGCTGCTGAAATTCATTGCCAACTGGTTTCTGTTTATGGTGAAGATATTATGAACAAGCAAAACATGACAAAATGGTGTCCTGAATTTGAAGTGAGAAGAAGTGATATTCATGACAAAATAAAGAGTGGAAGGTGATCCATCATCACTGATGAAATCGTCCAAAAAATTAATGAAAACATTCGTGCTGACAGATGTTTAACCATTGATGAACTTAATTAACAATGTCCAGAAGTGTCAAGAACTATTGGAAACTGTGCACACATAGGGTGCCGATACTGTTGACATATGATCACAAAAAAAAATTGAGTGGCTGCGGCACAGGCATTCCTTGCACATTACAAGGATCAAGGTGACGACTTTCTGAACTGTACTGTGACAAAAGATGAAACTTGGGTATCTCATCACACACCTGGGAATAAGCTACAATCAATGCAATGGCACCACACACACTCACCAACAGTGAAAAAATTCAAAACCTCACGATCACACTGAAAAATCATGGCAACCATCTTCTGGGACAGGAAGGGGCAACTTCTCGTCAATTTTTTGCCCAGACGAGACAACATTGATGCTGCTGCTTGCTGTGAGATGCTGAAGAAAATGTGTCAGGCTATTCAAAACAAGTGGAGAGGAAGGCTGCTGCGAGGAGTCTGCTTACTGCACAATAACGCCCGTCCGCACACTGCTTGTGCCATGCAGGAGTTGCTGCAATCCTTCAAGTGGGAAGTACTGGCCCATCCACCACACAGCCCAGACCTTGCACCAAGGGACTATCATTTCTTTTCTAAATTGAATTAAAGTCTGGCTGCAAAGACTTTTTCGAATGATGATGAGGTTCAAGACGCAGTGATGACATGGCTAAGAGAGCAGATGGGAGATTTCTACGATGCTGAAATAAAGAAACCTGTTCCCAGGCTCACTAAGTGCATTGCGATCCATGGTGACTATGCTGAGAAGTAAATAAAGGTGTGTTGTAAAAGTGGTACAAATGAATCCAAAAAAAAATGCTTTGCGATCCATGGTGACTATGCTGAGAAGTAAATAAAGGTGTGTTGTAAAAGTGGTACAAATGAATCCAAAAAAAATGCTTTACAAATATTTTCTAGACTTTCTATCTTTACTTTCCAAACAACCTTCATAATACATTCTTGTCTCTACAGCCTTAACCTCAGGAGTGCTCACTGAGTCAAACACACTATAAATACCTTGAACCATAATTGAGATGCAGTCTCGTCCCAAAGTGAGGCTGATTAAAATGTGATTAAATGAACTGTACGGTAAAGTCCATATAGGTAAACATTTGTCTGATAATTTCCTTATCCAGAATGGTCTACAACAAGGAGAAGCTTTATCACCACTTCTTTTCAACTTTGCTTTATAATATGCCATTAGGAAGGTCCAGGAAAATCAGGTGGGACTGAAATTAAATGGGACACATCAGCTGTTGGTCTATGCTGATGGTGAATCTACTGGGTGATAATATAGATACCATAAAGAAAAACACACAAACTTTAACTGACGCAAGTAAAGAGGTTGGTCTAGAAGTAAACACAGAGAAAACTAAGTATATGTTGCTGTCTCATCACCAATATTCAGGGCAAAATCATGACACAAAGATAGCTAACAGATGTTTTGAAAATGTGGCACAGTTCAGATATTTGGGAATGACACTAAATCAAAATCTGATTCAGGAGGAAACTAAGAGGAAACTGAACTCAGGTAATTCTTACTACCACTCATTTCAGAGTCTTTTGTCTTATTGCCTGCTGTCTAAAAACATAAAAATTAGAATATACAAAACTATTATTTTGCCTGTGTTTCTCTATGGGTGTGAAACCTGGTCTCTGACTTTAAGGGAGGAACATAAACTGAGGGTGTTTGAGAACAGAGTGTTGAGGAGAATATTTGGACCGAAGAGAGATGAAGTGATGGGAGGTTGGAGAAAACTGCGTAATAAGGAACTTCATAACTTGTACTCTTCCCCAAGTATAATTTGAATGATCAAGTCGAGGAGGATGATATGGGCAGGGCATGTAGCACGAATGGAAGAGAAGAGGAATGCATATAGGATATTGGTGGGAAAGCCAGTTGGAAAGAGACCATTGGGAATACCAAGGCATAGGTGGGTGGACAGTATTAAAATGGATCTTAGATAGAGAGGAATGGATTGGATTGATCTCGCTCGGGATAGGGACCGGTGGAGGGCTCTTGTGAACATGGTAATGAACCTTCGGTTTCCATAAAATGCTGGGAAATTCTTGAGTAGTTGCAAAATTGGCAGCTCCTCAAGAAGGGCTCAGTTCCATGAGTGAGTGAGTGATCACCCTAAATAAAGTCCTGTAAAAAATGATAGGAACAGAACTAATTGTTTAAAAGAAATAGTGCATGCAAATTAAATGTACATTAAAAGCACTTTTGTTTTGCGAGAACAAGCAGCAGACAACATGGATCTCCACATCAAAAGGCCGGAGAAGAATTTGTGCCATAAATACCACTACAGGGAAACAAAGGAACACTTTCTGGATGAGAATCAGTAACAGCACAACTAACAAACTTCCTTACATTGTAACCTACTGAGTGCTGGGTCAGAAATTAAGTCTGCAATTTAGAGACCGAGGCTCTATTAATGTGCTGTCTAGTAAGGGCTATCACACACCTCTGGGAGTGGAATGGTGCAAAATTGATTAGAAGGGGAAAACCAAACAACCTTGGTGTAAATTCTTCGGCACCACTTTTTGTTCATCATGAAGTCACCTGTGACTGATCCAAGGCTCCAGAGTGAGACAACAGAATTTAACCAACTTAGCCATGGCGTGAAATTAATTGCTCAATAATGACGTATATTTTGTGCGGCACTCTGTATCACAGGAAAACGCCTAACCACGTAGACATATTGGTGAAGTGGATATGCAGCTCCACCATGCTTAACCTCTGCAATAGATGAAAGTGAGTGGCCAGCTTCACACACCAGCCACTTCACCCGCAGGGAACATCACCTGCACTCATTGCATAGGCGTGTGAGTGAGCCCCAGAGCTGGTCTGGACACTATGGAGAAGTGAAAAACTTCTTATCTCTGCTGGGAACTGAACTCAGATGCCTTGGATATCCAGCCAACAGTCCCTTCACTATACAAACTGAGCTATCTTAGGTCCTGAATTCTGTATGGTAACATATAGCCAATGATTAGGAAGAAAATACAGAAACGGTGCATGACATATAATGTGATGACCAAAAAGAACCATATAATTTTACAGAAGAATCTGATTTGCATCTATTTGCACAAACTGAATGCATGCAATTATGTAAGTAAATAACAGTGATCATAGTAATAATGATTCTGATGTTAACGGGGCTGAATGAACAGCATATTAAAGCTCTAGTACGTAGAGCTGACAGTCCAGGAAAAGCTGCGCAGTGGATGGGCAGGTCCATTCGTGAAAGTTGAGGGGTGTCATCATTAGTCATTTGTCTGCATTCAGTGCGAGTTGACGTCTGTACAGTACAGTCAAGTTAAAAAGTTTTGACTCTAGCAGTCGAATTTGAGTGTATTATTCTCTAATTACTGTATTAATATTGTGATGCGTTACCTTATGTCCATTGCCGCGCAATGGCTACAATGGAAATTGTTGAGTTCCGACAGCGACAAATCGAATACAAACAGACCATTGCGAAGGAGCGTTCCCGAGGCAGAGGATTGCCGAACACATGAGTTTGGAATAGGCATTTCCATGGTAACGCAAAGAACAGGGAGCCATTGCGTAGACAATGCAGAAGCAACGAATGTGTCTCCCAAGAAATGAACTACAGAGAGTTCATTGCGCCCGTTACGTAACAGCGGACAGTAGAAACGAAACAGTGAGGAATGGTGTCTGGTATCCAGTCCGCAGAACACCTACATAAGCCGAGAGCTACAGAGACAGAAGACAGCAACAAGACAGCAAGAAGTCAGTATTGGGATAGCCGTCGCCGAAGACAGTTGGGCTCCAACCACAGCCAAAGATAGTTGAGACGTCGCATTGAAGTATTGGGCCAGAAGTCAAGTGGTGACAGTGACAATATTTTATTTTATTGTTTATTTTTATTCGTTGATTTTCTTTCTTGTTTATTTATATTTGTACATTTTTTCTATCTCCTTTAACATGCCACCTACACGAAGTAAATTGAGTGGAAAAGTGTTGCATTCACAATCAAGAGAAATTGTTAGTAATGTATATAAGTATATGAAAGAGGCCGGGCCAACAATTACAGTGAAGAACATAGGAGTGGAAGTAGCAAAAGCAACAGGTGTATCGGAAAGTAGTGTCAGAAAAATAATAAGAGAAACAACAAATGTCGAATCTGGGGCTTCCACTTCCTTTTCGACACCCCATAAAGACCTAGGAAATCTCCACTAGCCACTTTGGATGACTTTAACGAGTCTGTGGTGCGAAGAACAATTAATGACTTCTACACAGTCAAAAAACGGAGACCTACCCTGAAAGAAGTTCACGAAAAGGTGAAGAAAATGTTAGATTTTCAGGGATGCATCTCCACATCAAAGAAAATTATTTTGAAACTGTGGTTCCACTGGAAAAAAAAAAATAATCTGACATTGCCGTTGTTGCCCCTTTAGAACAGACCTGTGTAATATGTAAATAAACTCTTCGTGTATGTAACAGTGAAAAGTGTATAATAGTGTATATTGCATAACAGTCTGCCATTTGGCACTTAAAACTTAACATCAGATGTGTGAACATCAACGGGAATAAACCATCATCACTATGCACCACAATGAGGTAAAAAGTTATTTCCTTTTGAGAACACCTGTACTGCATTCCCCGCCACACTTGGCATGCTGGAGCTCTCCCTGCCACTACCAATACTTCTCCTACCTCGCGTCAGAGGACTGTCACCTCTAAGTACTAGAGCTATGCAGTGAAATCCTGTATATTCTGTGAACACCTTTTCTGTCCCCCCCCCCCCACAGATCAATATAGGTAACACATTCTTTTCCTCTATTTGATTTAGTAAATAACACACCTCTAGTATAGTAATTTCTGACCTTCCAGAACTTGTACCTCTATTGTGGTCAAAATAACAACTGGTAGTTACGTTTTCTATCAGCCAGAAATTGTTACATCACAACCATACTATTTGGTGAGTGATGTCACATACCGAACACGCACTAAAGTCACATCATTTGAGCATCACAGTCACTTTGGTTGTTGAGTGAGGTTCTTTAATTATTTATTTCATATGTCATTAATTATTTCAGAAATTAATTTCATATCGCTATGTAGCAGTATGTATTTGTGTAGAAACAGTTTATCATTTATGTAAGAAATTATTTTAAAATACTTCTATACAGTATGTGCCCCACGAAAATGAACAGTCTTTTGATGTAATAATGCATAACCTCCATTTAGTGAAAGCCTTAATTTAGTGTAAGACATCCATCTCCCACAAATTCATTAAATACAGACTTCACTGTATGTAAAAGCATTGACTTCCATTCTGCCTCTATCGAGTTCTTTTATGGCACTGTCAGCTATTCCTCCAACATTGGAACACATTTATTGCAGACAACAGAAAAGGTGATGCAGCCCCATTTGTTAGCAAAAATTCTTTTGAACCCTCTACACAAAACAACACTTTACACTGATAGATCCAGTGATGCTAGCAGACTTCTTAATAAAAGTATCTAACAGTCTTCTGGGATGTGATGCCATGTAGTCTGGTGGATCACTCACTCATCCACCTCCTCCATTCCTAATGCAACCAAAAAAAGACAAGGGACATACATCCAACTAGTGACAACATGCATACAAAGGGGCTGACAAACATGGATGCCACATAAAGAAAATAAAGCAGAATGGAGAGAAAGTTTCATTCACAAACATATTTTAGTGTGAACAACAATAATGCAATAGCATGGAAATGTATGGATTTACAATCTGATGCAGTGCGACAATTTCAAAAAATGAACAACTGCCTGAAGATGACCAAATAGGAGCTGAAACATTAGCAATTGATTGTGGTTTTGGTGCTATGCTGGATCAGGGAGAGATTGTGAACATTTTTTGGTTGAATTAGGGATGGAGGTAGATGAGTACAACAGGATGCTGAAATATAATATTATTCTGGTAGATATTTATGACTGTTGCAAGAGAATATGCTGCCTTCATAAAGATGGAGACAGCATATTCCTCCAAAGCACTAGGAAATACCTTGCTGTTTCTTTTATATATCAATGACCTGTCATCAGCATTAAATACTGATAATAAGTTATTGTTGTATGCAGATGATACAAGCATATTAGTATCAGGCACTGATTTTGATGAAATCCAAGTAAGGTCTAACATTGTGTTGAATTCTTTAAGCCACTGGTTTGCATGTAATGGCCTGTCTCTAAATCTGAAAAAAAAAACTAAAGTGTTAAAATTTGATACAATTAATCGAGATAATATGTCTATACATTTAAAGTTTAATGATGAGATATTGCATGAGGAAACCCACGTTAAATTCTTGGGCACTGAAATTGATTAGACCCTGAATTGGAAGTCACAGATTGAATCGATGCTGTCTAGATTGGGCAAGGCATGCTTTGCAATAAGAAATATTAAATTGTATAGCAATATTGAAACACTAAGGATGATTTACCTCGCATACTTTCATTCAATTATGAGATATGGAATAGTATTTTGGGGAAACTCGGAGGCTAAGAAGATTTTTCTTTTACAAAAGAAGGCCATCAGGATAATGATGGGAATGAAACCCAGAGAATCATGTAGAACAGTTTTTAAAAAATTAAAAATTCTGACATTGGCCTCTCAATATATTTTATCTTTAAAGATACTATTGATAAACAATTTGGGGTATTACACTTATAATCATACAATTCATGGTAAATCAACAAGACAAGTTAGAAACCTACATATTCCTCAATCACATCTAACAAAGAGGCAAAAAGGAGTCTATTGCATGAGTGTAAAAGTTTTTAATAGTTTGCCTGATTTTTTAATTGAGTTAGTACATAATAAAAAACAGTTTATTGGGAAATTAAAGGATGTATTGCTTCAAAACCCTTCTTATACTGTCGGGGAATTCTTGCTTTTCTGTCAAGACCTACAGCTAAGGAAAAGATGTGTCTGACAGTGCACACTTCACTAAACACTATGTCCTTGGCTGTGCTTATATATACTTGCTGCAATTTGTATTGCCTTTTAACTATTGTATGTGTTTTTGACAAGTATGGATTATATATGCTAGTGATTTTATTTGTGAATGTATAAGTGTCCAATGTTTTGTTTGCTTGTTGACATGTTTTATATTTGGTGCCGGTGGCACATTTATGAATATTTTAAAGAAACACAAATGTATATGTATGTATGTATGTATGTATGTATGTATGTACCAGATTACACAGTGTCACATCCAAGAAGGCAGAAATAATCAACTATATAAATTTGTTTAAAAGTATTACATGCTTAGCATATTAACTCTGACTGCCAAGCCTTACCACAGTACTACCAGCTATAAATGCTAAGGCTGCACAGTGATAAATGTAATTCCAACAGAAAAACTCACAATATGTTCCTCAAATGGCCTTCAACCAGTATCAGAAATATCTCACATTAAAGTCCATTTTTCTGTAAAAATCAGTAAGTCACACTCGATGCCATCTACTGACAGAAATGCTATAATAATTTATTATCAGTACCCATTCATTCATATTTAATGTATTCAAGTAGATCCAGTTACAGGATGAGAAACAAGCTCACACACCATTGGATATAGAACATGTCAGATATCAAAACAAATGTTCCAACCAATCATTGGAACAGTCAAAATAACATAATAAAACATACATGACATAATCATTGAACATAATAAAATGTAACTACAAGAAGACTTAAATACTAGATGAAAAACATATTGACCATTTATCTAATAAAATTCATCCAGTTTGTAAAGACAATGCATGTGAATAGATATTATCAATAAACAATACAACATCAAATAATGTGTATTACATCACTCACACATCAAAAGAAAACCATAGTAACATCTAACATGCATCAAGAATACATACAAATAAATAATTCTCTCAGAAGTATATTAAATGACTATTATAATAATAAATACACACATTCATAAAACAAGAGACTGTACATTTAAAATAAATAAATATTGATACAGAAAATATATATTGAGAATATAAGGGCAGAATATTTAATTGCCTGAACAATGGACAACAGGCATCCTTACTTCTTGCCTTCATAATAATTCTCACTATATATCACTATCATATCATCATCATCATCATCATCATCATCACACTGTGCGAGACAATTTCATTATTGTTCCATCGACATAACTGTTTGTATAG